AATAATGATTTTATATTATTTTTTAAAATATATAATTAAAATTAAAATAAATGAAAATTTCAAAGCATATCCATTTTTTTTCTAATCTAAAAATTCTATAAAATGTACAGAATATTAAATTAAGCGTTCAATTAGAAGAAACTATAAGTGAAGTGTAATATAATAAAATAATAATAAAAAAAGAACAGTATAAAAAATATTAAATAAAAATTAATCTTAAGTTGGTATTTTAGTTACTTTCTAAGGTATATCCATAAATTACGTAACGCTAATTTTTATACGTTTCGACTACAGTTTCATACCTTGTAACGCTCAGTAACGCAGTCACAAATACCTATACCCCAGAATTACGTAACGTATACTATCGATAAACTCATTTAATTTTACATAAGGGATGCTACGCAGCACGGAAATGATAATATTTTTTGAACGTTACATTATTTTATTAATTACTGGTACATGTGTAAAGTACAAAGCACTGACCTAAAGAGTACAGTTCGTTATACAACATTTCAGAAATAAAAATGAATCATTCTGTTACCCAAGGGTTGAGTGAGACCTTTGCATTACGTAACGTTTAGTGACCACTCCATCCCCTTGTGACGCATCGAAACGATTACCTGCATACCTACCTACCCATGCTTGCGTTAAGTAATTTATGGATAATCCCTAAAATAATGGAAAATAAGAAATACTTAACAACTCACTACAGTAAAATTTTGAATAGAAGTTACATTCAGCTATTATATACACATAGAACCATATAAATAAATGACTTGAAATAATTCTTACTAAATATTATTATAATTAAGTTTAATATATCATCTAATTAAGTGAAATTAATAATAAACATTTTTCAGTGCTCACTGCTATAAAAACTCATAACAATTCGTCATTTTAATAGTCTTTAATGTATGATTTCCTTAAGAATTAGTCCGTATATTTCTTATTATAATTTTAATTTATTTGATATTTTTTCAAATAATAATTTACGTTATAATAATATTAAAGACAAAATTGGTGCGAAAATTATTCGAGAAACAAAGTTTTACAATCAATAACTAGTTCTTAAAATTTTACTTACTCAAATTTTTTTTCCGCTGATGTATTTTTAAAACTAAATATTTAAATTTATGTATATTTTGTTTTCAATTAAAATGACATAAGTTTAGAATTAGTAAACAATATATCATCTCGTCTTTTTCAATTAATTCGTCAATGTCGTCTTAATATAATATAATAATATAATATAATATCCAATCATATTAAGCCACACTTAAGACTTATTTTTAAATAAACAATTATAAAACAAACAACATTTTCAGCTTACCTTTAATAAAATCGACAGCTTGTTCAAGACCGTAAGTATCTTTATCACAGTCGTCCAGCACGTAAGCTCCCAGAGTGATATTAGGTAGGAAATCTTTCTGACTGTTGATCCAATCGATAGTATAAAGCATGCACTCCAACGCCTGAATCCCTCCTTGGGGCATGATGGGGCCACACGTTAATAAATCTTCTCTCTCGTGCACCATCATTAACCCTCCTAACACTATATCACCTTCTATCTCCGCAACCCTCTTGATAGGCCACGATATGTTCAAGTTATGCTTAGATTGTGTCCATTTAGTCACCATACAATTTACTAAACCACAAATGAAAATGAATAAATGTATTGACTGATATGTTGAGATATTCATTTCTTCTTCCGTCTGCCTGAGATGCAGACATCTCTAACTCTAGCTAAACACTGTTTGACAACGTGAAGCGCTCTTATATATATAGAGTCAGCGATCCAATAGCTGATCAGTATTTCCACGTGATCGTATCTGATTGGATAATTTTATATTTGAAAAAAAAACTGGAAAACATATTTTTATATATATTTATATGTTTTTAAAATAGTATTATCTTGCAAAAAATTTTAATTTATCATTAAATATATTATTGATAATTTTCTTAAATAAATTTTTTTGTTTTTCCTGTTATTTTCATAAATTGAGCTAATTGTTTGCAATAAATTACTTTTAAAATCATTGCTATTAATTCTAAGAAAACTTTAAGAAATTAATAATATTTTAACATTAAGAAATTTATTTTAAGCCGAAAAATGTTAACGTTTAATTATGACTTTCATCAATTTTTCCTTAGTAGAATCATTTTCCAACATTAAATCTCACTTCCTTTCGTTTTCTGTTTAATTAATAGTGCCATTTATAAAAATCTATAATTATCTTCACTAATGATTGAAGATATTAATATTTTATGGTTATTTCCTTGAATTATTTTCATAATTTGATCATAAAAATTCAATTTTCTCGCTTATTTCTTTCTATTTATTATCATTAAAGTTTTATTTTCTTATAAATATCATTTGTTTTTTATGATTGACTAAATTTTTCGATAAGAATATTAATTCTCAAATATAAATAATTTTTCTACCACCAATAAAATAAAATTTTATAGTCGTTTAATGTACAAATCGATAGTCTAATTATGAGAATATTTTTTACAAAATAAAATAAAATTCACGAACAGATCTAAAAATTAATACTGTAATGTATTTATATTGATGCAGAATAAATTTTATTTAAAATAAAAATATAAGCGTTTATAAACATGCTTTGCTCAATCATTTTTTAATTAAAAAAAAATATTCGGTTCCGCTCGTATTGTCTTATATAGATATAGGCTATAAAAATATTTACAGAAAAACTACTTAATATTATTCTCATGTAACTTCATAATTACATAATTTTTTTTATATAAAGAGTAGCTTATAAATTTGTTTCAAATTCTTCTATGTTTACCATAATTTTATGGCATCTAATTCATCATGTTTACGAGAAGAAAGTAATTACTTCTAAAATAGAAAAAAAATAATTTAAGATGTACAACAAGTTAATAAAATTTAATAAAAGAAAATACAATTAAAATTAAAGTTATATTCTTTATAAATATACTTTCACTGTCATAAATCTTGGTAAATACATATCTCTCACTATAAAAGAAACATTCCTCGAATATAATGTGTGTGTCGCCATCTGTTGAGAGTATAAGAGAAATATTTTATTATACTGGCTGTTAATTTTCATTTTTCGTCTGCAGCCATTCAGTATGTGACAAGGACTGCAATTATGGGTTACTTATTTAAATACTACAAAGTGTTATAAATGAATGTTATGCCGCTCTGGGGGACCCGGAATCAAATCCGGACGGTCGAAAAAGCCTCAGGAATTTTTCGGGTAGTGATCCGTCCAGATATGTTGAGCACCGTCCCTCACCACCCAGCCGTTCCATTGTGGGCCTGGCAGAACCCATAATAAGCTTGCATAAAGAGGCCCTCTTAGTGCCCACAGAGTGGAAAGAGTTTTTTAAAAAATCCATTTACAGTAGAGCGTCGATTATCCAAAAGTCAATCATCCGAAAGAATTCCAGTCGGCAAATTTAAATTTTCGCCAGTGCTGTGGCGCTGCAATCTTTGACTATGTCTTGGGCTACTCAAACATTTTACGTTTTTGATACTAAATTAACTTCTGAAGTATAATTTTTTTATTGTTTTTATATTTTTCAATATATTTATTTTTTTTGTACAAAATAAAAAAATATTTTTTAACGATACAATAGTCTTCGTTAGGCTTAACATCGACGAAAATTCAACGCTAAGCGACACACAACGGAGAAAAATTTCAACATGGGATAGGTTAATATATTTTTTCGTACATAATCTGTTATCCGAAATATCGATTTTTTCCCCCGAACCCCAGTCCTCAATTGATTTGGATAATCGACGCTCCACTGTATATACAATTTTCGTATAAGCATTTTTTCACACTTTTCACACATGGAAGCCATATGATCTGAAAAATAAGGATGATTGCACAATTTGCATATTAATTATTAATATGGATGTTTGACACAAAATAAACTTAGCACAAGACAGATGACCGTTATGACCGTCAAAAAAACAAAACCTGAAAGCGCAAAATCTACATTTTTGCGTGAACATATGTCTATATTATATTAGCATTAATGCGTATTATGTTATACGCATTTATGCAACCTTTAAACAATTGCTATTTTCTGTTCACGTCAGTAGCCGTTGTACAGAGGTTTCATTATATTTTCAAAAAATTAATAACTTCAAAAATTTAACTTATAACACTAAAATGAATTCTAAAAATAATTTTTAAATAAACGTGAAGATTTTACAAATATATTTTGTAAAATTTTTAATCTATATTTTTATGTTTATTTAACAAATACTTTTTTAAAAATTTAAGTTCATAATTATTTTAATATTGTAAATTTTTGAAAAATTTTAAATTGCTGTATTATTTATAATAAAAAAATTTTAATTTAATTAATAAATAGAGTAGACATCGCTTATTATAAACAGAAATCGATCATTCTTATCAATGTCTTCGGTAAATAGGTCTTTTTACGCTTCGTTTAGTGCTAGCAGCTTCTACTTGTGACTGATAACATGAAATTATTATAAATTATTGTTATTGTCTTAAGTATGATTGTAACGTTATACATTTCCAAAAGTTGTCATTAAAAATGAATGCTTTTTCTGTGAGAAATCCTTTCCCAAAAATTCATGAAAAAGAAAGCAGATAGAACTAAACAGGTTTCTGTGTTACAACTCTATTTAATTCCTCTATTAATGTAGTACGATTCTGAATTTTGAAAATCAAATTTTTACTTTTCTACTAATTTTCCAGTTTTAAAAAGTCGTAGAAAATTAAAGAATATGATTCGTTCAGAATTAACAAAAAATAACAGCTTCAGTTTTAAAATTTAGAATAATATTGGTGAAGAAATATAATAAGAACTTTTTCTTTTTTTTAAGGTTACGTTGTCCTTGGAGTGTTTAATTCTCTTTCATATTGCCATTAGGATGTTTGCATTATATATGTATCAATATATTTCTGTAAAAGCTATATTTTTGATGTATATGGTTTGTTTGTTGATTGCTAGATAAATATATAGTTTATCAAATGCTAATGCAAGTAGTAAATATTATTGCTGCAATACATCAAATAATTTTAAATTAAAATGTATATAAGTTTTTGCATTAAAATATCAGCTGTTATTGCAACATTTGTTATATCTCAGATATAATTTAATACAATAACGTATTTATATCAGAATAACATTATTTAATATTTTAAGAATTATTTTATAACTTAAACTCTTCCAGTTATTGGCTATAATTTTCATATACGTACGTTTTAGGTTAATTTTTATCATCAAATAAGATTTATTATTCATTTAGAAGCTTAATTGAAAATTAATTCAAATTATACTGCCAAGAACATCAGTTTTAAAAAAAAAAAAGATTAGTTTAAGCAAAGTATGTAATAATGTAGCTAGTAAAAATAAATAGTTTGTAATTACAGTGCAGTAGACACGGTAACTATGAGAAGACTAAGCCCTATAAAATGTATACAACTTCTGGAAAAAATTATGGAATCACTTCATTATGAGGATGTTTTTAGTGTTTTAAGCATGTAGCAAAGAAATAAAGCAAGCAATTGATACAAAGTAATTTTTCTAATAATAGGCAGATATTTTGTCTGTACTATGAATAATTTAAACAATCAACATAACATTATGTAAATTAAATACATGAACTTTTTTAACATCATATAGAAGAAAACTTATGGAGTCATCTTACATTTAGCGTATTTAAAAGATTGCTTGCTATATTTTTCAATATGCAAATAGTAAATGTTAATAGAATGCTTGTAGCACTCAAATGCTTTACTCTTCTGTTAATGTAACAAAACCGCGTCATCTAGAAGAGAGTTATGCTTTGAAACAATGGAAAGAGTTGTAAAACTCCTAAACGAAGACAATTCAAAGTTATCCACAGTCAGTTGTATCTAAAATTTGGTGCACGTTTAAACCGAAATATTATAATAGGAAAACCTAGACCTATCCGAAAGACATTAGAGCGTCATGATAAGAAACGAAAAGCAATATGTCTTGAAAATAGGAAGTGTGCAACAAAGAGATGAATAGAAATTGGAAAGAAGCAGGTGTTAGTATCTGTGATAAAACAGTGAGAAATAATTTGAAAAAAAATGGGATTTTTATATACAAAAGCAAAACAAAAACCTGATACAAAAGCACTGATCCAAATCATAAGAAACCAATGTTAAAATTGGCCAAAGTGAAGCAATCGTAAACTGTAGACAACTGGATAAAAGTCATATTTAGTGGTGAGTCTCGAATTTTCATTGGTTATGGAGACGATCCTGAAATTTTTGTTTAGAGCCGTTCTAATGAGCCCATAAGGATGATTGCCTAAAGAAAACAACAAAAATTCTTTAGTTATTATTTGGAGTTGCATGTTAACTAAAGGATCAGATGAGCTGGCCATTATTACATCAACAGTTAATGATCAGGTATACGTTGAAGTTTTAGAGAACTTTATTATTTTATCCATTGGAAATATGTTTGGTTCTGTTGTTATTCTTGAAGATGACAATGCATCTTGTCATACGGCTCGAACTGTTAAAAGTTTTCTTCGCCAACTTTCTTACACTAGTCATTCGTGAAAACCTTGTTTGCTTTGAGTCGTGCTTGCCTTTTAATTTTCCACTGTGGGTCTAACACCGTCTCTTGCGTTATCAGATAATATAAACCTATTTTAAACAAATTAAATTAATAGTAACCACCCATATCAAGCTTGGAGAAGTGGAAAAATTAAAACGATAAAATTGTT